AATATCTAGCATCTGAATAACTCCACTCTGATAGGTATCCTAAACCTCCCTGAATGGTGTTAAACACAACCGAACAAGATCACTTATCAATCTGTACAGTTTATTTTCTCTTAAAAGATACAGCTTATATAGATAAGACTAAGCATCAGTCACAGAATACCCTCCCAACATTGCTTCACAGCCAGGTAAATAAAAGACTTCTCACCAACAAGCAGCTTTCTCATGATAAGAAATAAAGTTGGCTTTCTACATCTAAAAACTATGAGTATTCATCTTCAACTAAAAATGTTTGTGTCCCTGGAGATAATATACTGAGCATCATGAAGATGAAAGTCTAACTGATCTGGTTTTATGAGACCAATCATAAAAAGTGTTTGTCTGTATAATTCATGCAATTATTTTTCAACTGATACTAATTATGGTAAAAAAAAAAAAAGATTTTTTTTTTCTAAGCCATAGGCCTTGACTACAAGAAGCTTAGGAATAAAGGAATTCCAAGGACATTTTTCCCTGTGTACTACCATCTCACAACAATGTGATATTGTCTTTTGGTTATAATTATAATTACATTAACATATTCATCAACAAGAGATGTCCTATCAACCTTCATTAAGAGGTATAGTTAATCAACAATTCCTTCCCTTCAAAGGAAATTATATCACAACATTAAACAAAACTGACAATATACAAATAAACAAGTAGCGATGATATTTCTACAAATGTTTAATCCTATAATCAAGACTTACCTACATCTTTAACAATGATGAGACGTGTGACATCATGAGTAAAATAATGGTCAGTAGTGCTGAATATCTACACAACTTATCTAGCACTATATCTTTCACATTTACTTGCAGAGATATGCGGTGCATAATTCCGTAAGCATTGCAGGAAGTCTGTCATGGCGAATGTAAGAGCCTGGTCAATAACATACTGAGGGATCCAGCCCTTGAGATCTGTGTCCAGCAACCACTGAAAGGAACATTTCTTTGGAGCACCTGCAACTGGGCTAAACACCCAACAGCCTGGTCCATTCTCACCCCTGTCAACAACAGAGAAAAAATCGGAAATTATATCCAGAAACACCCCATGCCTCATCGCAGGGGCAGCGGAGGTGGTATACTTTTTATGGTCAGCGAGTGTACATGTACTGTCTATTGCGGCCAGCAAGGAGTCAATTGGTAGAACAGCAATAATAATAATATTGATACTATTATTACTACTACTGACATTATGATCATTTTATCAAAATATTAAAAAAAGAAAGAAAAAAAGAAAAAAAAAAGGGTTAGCAGACATGATAAGTAGTAGGATTATCACTAACTGGTCTGTGATAACATGTAACATTCTATTCTTGTTCCTATACCATTCACCCATTATCATTTTACTGACAGGGTGTAAAATGCTGACAATAATAACACAAAAAGTTATGACACAAGAGACGAGTTTTCCATGTGAGCCAGGGTTACAAACTACACACGTGGGAGAATCACTACCAAAGTAAACTTAATACCTAGATTTTGGGACATGAGTGGGCAGCAAGGCTCCCAGATACAACTGATTTTGTTGATGAACTAAAATACATTTGCCTTGGACAAATAATTTGAAGGTAAACACTCAATAAAAATACTTAAAGGTCATATCATATCAAACTATTGCTAAGACTTTTTCACACCAGTAAAGATGTATAAACAGATAAAATAATTAGCATCAGCTGCAACATGCACTGTTTTTCTTGTTATGTTGGCAAACAATGTGGACATTTGCTTGTTATCACTTTATCCAACTTTGAAAACCCAACCAATGTTGTGAATATGTGAAAATGAGGCTACTGAGGAGACAAGAAAAAGTCAACAATACTAGAACAATGGATCAAAATTTGTAATAAAGTTCATAGTTCAACATCTACATACCGTACTATACTCTTTTGTGGTGGTTCATCTTTATGAACAACAGAGACATTTGCAGAGACCCAGCAATCGCCAATTTTCTTCCAGTGTCGCACATTCACAAAATCTCTTGCAGATACTACGCCTCCTGGTCCTTCTGCAGCAACCTGGTACACCACATCTGTGCAACTATCTATAGTCTGATAAAATCAAACAAAACTAAAAGTTAACAGCAAATACAGATAATTCCTTACAATGTTAATTTAAAAAGGTTATATTAAACTTTTGACAAATCAGTACGTATACACAGACATCCTTACAACCTTTTATGAAAAGGAATGTAAATCTCGTGTACAAATAGCACTCACCTGTACAACTCTACCTAGTGTTATTGCTTTATTCCATGTTGGAATATTTTCGAAGTTGAAGAGCATCTCATTAAACAAGGTCTTTGGCTCTACCTCCACCATACCCTAAAGGGAGACAAAAACCATTTGGGATCAACTTACCCGAAAGTCCTTAGGACTGTGGAATCTTGAACTCTTTCTAAAGTATATACAATAGCTTAAAATGCAGTAGTTTAGTAGGAGTAGTTGTAGTGGGTAAATGCTGAACTAGATATAATCATGAAACTTAAATCCCTTATTCAAGGCTGGTAAGAAAAGTGTAGAAATGGAAACATATTGGCCAAAAATGCAATGGCCAATACAACAATACAGGATGATCCAGTAGCCATAGTAATACATATCCCATTAGTGTCAGGTCTCCAAGAGAATATTAATCATTACACAACAAAATTAAACAAATGTAGGTGCAGAATTTTTTAGATATATTGCAGAACTTAGTGAGAAATGGCTCACAGGTAATTTTCTTAAATAACAAAAAATCCTGCTTTATTGTGAAGCTAAATATTCAGGCAGCAAATTGGGAATAACAATTAGAAGTCAGCACCATCTGTGAACTCTCATAGGCTCCCTTCAAAGATGAATAGGCTTTATATACATGTACATATAAATATATACATAAAAATATACACATATAAATATATACATAAAAATACATATATACATATATATATATATATATATATATATATATATATATATATATATATATATATATATATATATATATATATATACACACATACACACACATGCATATACACACACACAGACACACACATATATATACAAACATTTATATATATACAAAAAAACATTTTTTATTGTTAAAAAGTTCAGAAAAAAAACACTCACTGTGTAAATATTAGAGGATGCTAAATCTTTCCTAATCAAAATCTTTAATAGTAATAATAATCATAATAATTCCATACCATCTACATTATCAGTCCTGGGAAAGTCTACGTAGAGAAAATGAAATACCTACCACAAGTTTATATATTTTTGATCCTTTAGGTCCCACTTTGGAGGAAACTGTGTCTCCATGTGAAGTTTCCTTTTCTACCTTCCAGCCAGGAGAGTTTACAGTCTCCCAGGCTTTTTGCAAGGCATCATAACCACTTGCTTGCATTTGTTTTTCCTGGCAACGAAATCATTTTTACAGTGTTCATAAATGGAGAAACAGCTAAAAAGTCACATTTCTTTAACTGTGTCATAATTTATAAGTTACCTATTATATGTATTTTAAGAGATTATTAATACCCTAGTTCATTGACATATTCTATTGTGTTATAACCAACAAATTTCTCAGGATACAAGTGTAGACCTGTTCACTATATCATATAACAGGCTATATTGTCAATGTTAAACAACAACATTGAAAAATGGCTTACTTCTGGAGATAATTTCCTGTAATCCGTACGAGTAAAACCATCATCATCGTCATCAGATCCTGAAAAATATTTTAGCTTTATGAAATTACAAGTATCATAAGTAGCTATGACTTATAGTAAATTTTTACAAGAACTTGTAGACTACATAATGACAGTGGATTCAAGCTTACAAGCATTAGTATACAATAATGGGTAGTCTAATGGATATTCCAATTATAGCATAGCAATCAAAAGACTATTTGTCTTGCATTCTGCAATTCATCTTTATATAATCCTAATCCCATCAAAGCAGAACCTTATTCAAAGACTTGCCATGGCTTTAATTTTACAGACTTACCTAAGGGTGATTCCATGGGCGAGTAGAAGTCACCAACAGTCTCAGTATAATGACTGAGGTAGTCCCTTACACGCTCCAACTGTGGTAATAGTGGATCATTCTCCATGTGTTCACTGCTGCCTGCAGCAGCTGTTATAAAGAAACATGAAATTACTTGTTATTTTTTATCAAAAGTTTAAGGGCTGATGGTCACTTTCTGCTTTCAGAATAATAATAACAAACACATGCCCAAACTGATAACACAAAATCAAGTGAAACAACAAAATCTACAATAAACACCTTCCTTGTGTATATGCTAAATGAATATACTCTCAACCAATTTCAAATCTAATTATACCATCAAAAAGATGTTTAAGTTGCACTTACACTATAGCATAGTTTTCTTATAAATAAATATATTCTCCTTACCTTCTAAATTCTTACTGAGTACATCATGAATTTGTTTGAATTTCCTTACCTTCCAGAATTGACCGAGCACGAGCCTCTTGTGGTAAAACCCTGAAGTCAATAAACCAAGCTTCAGCCCAGGCAATAAGAAATGATATTAGGACTGATCACTTCAAATGGACGGCTGTTTTCCGTTTGCCACTGGAGTAAGTTGAGAAAAAGAAAATATGTTAATAACACACTAAAGCTTTACAGCCAGTATGTCATTTAGAATAATTGTAAATATCAACATGAATTCACATGCAAACCGGTTATTTCATTTTAACATTTTCTAATAATTCAAATATTCATCTTAATCTTAAAATATTGCTGATAATTTTTTTTCGAAAATTAGACATAAAAATAATAACCAATGGTTAATTAGTACAGCCTTTTTTTTATGAATCTTTAGAAACGGGAGAAATGAGCAAAGATAAACTTGAGAACTTCTTGATGGTCCTATCCCTACTACGGCAGATACATCAATTGCATCATTATTGTCATATGAAGTGTTAGAAGCAATGGTCATCAAACAGGAATGTTTAAGTTTGAGGTCATCCATTATTTTCAATCATTTTCATAAGCACAGAAAGTACTCTTTTCCCAAGCCTCCCTCCCCCCTCCCGAGCCTGCAAAACAAAACAATAAAAATTATGATTTCTACTGCAGAATCTCCAGGTTCTAGAGAAAAGAAATGATATTACGATTCTAGCACGCAACCATTACTGGGCATCTAGCAAAGAAGAATGTTCTCTCTTTGTCTATGGAGCTTTCATTATGAGAATGAAATTAATTCTATAACAAAGATGTGTTCAAGTGCTTCTGTACTGGAAATCAAAAAGCATCTCATCTGCTGCAAATCTTGTCTTGATTTTGTCAGAGCAATACGAAGGCAATAAATGATTTGCCATTATGATATTCTAAGAAGTCAATGATTAACCCCATCCCTCTCCAGCATATGGGTCATGAAAATGATGAAAAAAAAAAAAAAAAAAAAAAAAAAAAAAAAAAAAAATGATGACCCCTTTGGAGTCTGCCATTTTTTTTTTTTTTTTTTAAATTTTTTATTTCTTAATTACCTTTTTACTATTTTCTCTATAAACCTTCAGCCTGGGGAAATCTAGTGTTAATTGCAGTATTATTTTACTTAGTCACCAAGAAGTTAATTAGTCAACCTCATGACCTCACCTGATTTTACATTTTCTTGAGTTTTGGGGAAAAGTTTTTTTTACTAATGCTATCAATATTCTTACTATTCTTATCATAGACATTATTATGATCACAATGCAATAGAAATTACAAGGTACAATGAGATAAAAGAATATATTTCCAAAAATCAAGGAAAAGAGTAAAAAGGTGAGACACACAGTACAAGTAATTGGCTCATTGGTGACTAAGTACTTGTGGAGCCATCTATTTGCAAAACAATTAATACACTAAACTCTCAGTGGGTATGATATGTAATATACATGTCAGATCTATGCTTACCGTATAAAGTAATGTCTTAGCTATGAGGAAAGCACAGCTCCCTGCTGTTGTAAGCTGGAAAATATTTACGAATGGAACCATTACTCTTTTATTGTATTGTATATACTTCTTAATTTTTAACATGACCATATTGCATATCTTGCAATCTAAAATATCATTATATTAATACATACATACATACATACAAAAAAAAAAAAAAAAAAAAAAAAAAAAAAAAAAAAAAAAAATATATTATATATATATAATATATATATATATATATATATAAAATTACACATACTATATATATATATATATATATTTATATATATATATAAATATACATTAATATATATATATAATATATATAATATAATAGTATATATATATATAAAAATGTTTATATAATGTATATTATCACACACACACATGCACAGTGCCACTAAAATATTATATCAGTTCCATTTCTGACACAATAAGTGTGTTTCAAAATATATATTTATTTTACTCACAGCAACAAGCCACCAGTGGTTTATGTGCAGCAGGGCATAGAACAGCAATAATACTGTAAACCTGATTGCAGCCGTCATCTGGAAATTTCCAAATACAGTAAGGATTTTGAGCATTAAAGATTAACAGTAGAAAGGCAGAGATACAGAGATAGATTATATTTTTTCAAAATCATTTGATATAGCTCTATGGTTCTCAGTTTGGTATGATCTCCATACAAATTACAATGCAGTTGAGTAGTATATTTGTTACTTTCCTATCTTAAACAGATAAAAGTTGTTATACTGCCTCTGTATCACACAGAAACATAACAAGTAAAAATCTCCAAAACAAAATGGAGTTGAACACTTACCACAATATCAAATATTGAGGTCTTGATACTATAATGCTCCACTTCTTCCTCAAGGGCCTTGACAAGATTTTCTCCATTGATCTGTAAACATTAATATACCTTAAAAAGAATATTATATTTCACAGCTTGTGGTGATAAAACTATGAGCAAAACTGATCAGATAACCAAAATAAATAAGCTACTAACTGAAAAATAATGATGATGATAATGATGTGATTAAAATAATGATGATAATACTAGCAAATAAGAGTAATGCTAAGAATAATATAAATACATTTACATTTTAATTTAGGATCTAATTCAATACTTTCACTATTCTTAGGTTTAATTTTTCAAAACAACCTACCAAGATACAGATGATCCAGAAGAGGCACGTAAAAAGCAGATCAAAGGTGACGAAGAGACAGAAGAAGCGACGCACTGTGGACATCCGTCCATTGATTTGCATTCCCGAAACATAGTTGGCAAGGAGGAATCTGCAGGTGTTGCATTTATGCTCCCAGAGGTTCCTGTTAAAGTAGAATGATATCAAATATACCTGCACTCCAAAATATTGTTTCCTTTATCATTCTCATCTGTTATTTTTTTTGTATCTCCCATTATTCATTCATTTAGTAACATTCATTTCTTCACACTTAAAAATAGTATTAACAAAAAGTAAAGTACATATATTCACACAAGAGGGTACATTACCTAAAGATGGTAGTTGTCCTAATCTATTCAT